TTATTTCTGCCATTTATAAAGCACCAACATATTACGCAGCACCGTACAACAGGTCATTTTATGGATGTTCCTGTGGGCTCAAGAAAAGTGCCTCCCCTGGCTCTCAGGGAACTAGTATTTCTAGTGAGGTCTTGTGCCTCCCTCCAAATACCTTTCTTTGAGGTAAAGGGGTCAAAACAGTGGCATAAATTGACAAGCTTGAGATGGAGCTTGCGGCCAAGCCGGAGTTCTAGACTAAACCTGGTTGACTTCTGCTTAAGACATTGCTATACTCTGGCTTTTACTCAGTAACGTGAAGGGGAGAGCTAAGGGAGATGCTTGTCTTTTAAATTAACTTTTATACCGGTATATTGCCACATACAATTTCAATTTTTGCCCAATATTCTTCTCTTCAAGCTTTAGAAGAGGATCTGGAGTCTTCTGATGAGGAAGAGAGCACAGCTGATCCAAAAACAACAAAGCGTGCTGCTTCTATAAACCCATCTAAGATACCCCAGGTATGTTACATCATTGCTTGAGTTGCTCTTTGTAAGTATTTGACGTAACACTTGAAACTTAATACTTAAATACATTTACAGAAAAAGGCAAAGGTAGAAGAGGAAGATGACGACGAGGAGGAGGATGATGATGATTTTGAAGAGTAAGTGTCTGTCTGAACATGTGATGGTTACTGCAGTGCCTGTTCTTGTACTGTAGTAATGGCCTAAACATTGTAACCATTCTCATTTAGGGACGATGAAGAGAAAGATGAAGAAACTCCAATTAAGGTAACTGAAGACCCTCATTGTTAATCGCTCTGGAGTGACCTGTTAATGTAACATACAATTGTGTGTAGTATGTTGGTATAATTTAGAAAAACTTCACCTGAGAGGGGATATGATAACATTATACAAATATATTCGGGGCCAATACAAACCATTGTGTGGAAATCTATTCACAAACCGGACTTTACATAGGACACAAGGCCATGCGTTTAGACTGGAAGAAAGAAGATTTCGTCTAAGGCAAAGGAAAGGGTTTTTTTTACTGTAAGAACAATAAGGATGTGGAATTCTCTGCCTGAGGAAGTGGTTTTATCAGTCCATACAAATGTTCAACCTGCTACTAGATGCATACTTGCAAAAACAGAATATTCAAGGATATAATCTTTCAATGTAGGGTAATAACTGCTTGATCCAAGGATAAATCTGACTGCCATTCTGGGGTCAAGAAGGAATTTTTTTTTTTCCTAGTTTCATACTGGGTTTTTTGCCTTCTTTTGGATCAACAGCAAAAAACAAATGTGAGGAAGGCTGAACTTGATGGACGCAAGTCTCTTCAGCTATGTAACATTAAATTTTTATTTTATTTTTTTTAAATCCTTGTTTGGACTTGAAATTTCCTAATTCTCTTTATTTGAATGTACTAGTGGGCCCAAGGTGTTGGGTGCTTTGACAAAGTTTGGTCATGTGTCAAAGGTGGATATTCTGTTACCTACACAGCATTATGATACAAATGCACACTTGATCTATTATTTTCAATGCCATTTCTGAACACATACTTGGTTAGTGAAAATATCTCATCTCTTTTCTGACAACTTTTGATTCTTAAACGTGTTGAAACAAAGTGTGATATTTAGATTCCCCCTCCCTTTATTCTCTTCTTATGCTTCTGTGGATATCTAGATTCCAAAATCTAAATCTGTGCAAAAGTCAAATCATAACGGGAAGGCTACAGAACAGTCTACTGCAAAATCTCCAAAGGTATGTGTGTTTTTGTTTTTTCCTGTCCACAAGAAATGAAGTCACTAGATTTAAACCTAAGGGGAAGTTGTGTTCTGGTAATTTTAAAACTGCTGTTGTGCTTTTGGCATTTATTCCTGGTAAGCCTCCTCAAAGTTGCTGAACATCATCCACAAACCATAATGTTTGTTGCAGTCCATCATAAGAGCAATCATGGTGGTAAAAATTGGAATCTGCCTTAACACTTTTTTTTATTTTTTTTATTTTTTAATTAATTTATTTTTTGCAAAATTTGAATCCAATAAAAAGAACTTCTTTCTGATAAGATGCCAGGTTTCTTTTTATAGAACTCAAACCTCTTTAGACATTGACCTTGGCTTGAAGTGGTCATGCATTATGAAGTTGCACTCATAATAATTGATTTCTCACTTGTTTCTGTTGCAAACTTGAAATGCTGTTATCACTGCAAAGTGGATGACATCAGTGGCCTTTTTTTGTTTGGGAAGAACTGTCTAATGGACACCCACATCTCCTTTTCTGTACTTGAAGGACGAAGTACCCCACATCTAAAAGGTTACAATCTAAATATGTGTATCTATACTGACTGCCCTACTTCTGCATTTCTCACTGCCATACGGAACAAAGGGGATGTGTACAATTGGGTAATTTGCCACTAGATACACTGGAGGCTGCTATATACCCAGCATGCAAAAATATTTAACAATCTTGTAGCTTTAAATACAGAGAAACTAGGAAATTTAAAGGGGTGGGGTAAAGAGTAATCAAATTACTTAATGAAAAATACAATTTTATTTCAAAATCAAAGTGTGGGAAAAAAAAAAAACATACATGGATAAAGCACTCCATAATTCCTATTATGGGACAAAATTCCAGGACTCACCAGTCCTGGTGCAGCCAAATTTCTTGGAATCTGTCACATGACAGCAGGCAGTATATTGTATGATCGTGTCTTGTTTCACTTGCTTCAACTGAACTTCAAATCTCAAAGGATAGTACAGCTATTATGCCCATTGCCATATTCCTAAATGAATGGAAGGTGTATGTTTAACCTCTTAACACAGTTGCAGCGTTCCATGCTGTCTAGCTTTAAAGCTGCTATAACTGCTTTCGGCTCCAGTGCCTGCCCTCTAATTGCCTCTGTGATCCGTTTTTGGGGGACAGCCTGGCATATATTTGAAGAAAGGAAAGAAAAATAAAGATAGATAGATATAGCCATGTGCTACTTTGGCAAGTGTTTGACTAAGTGGCTTCTAAAAAAAGACTGGACTGCAATACCTTGGGTTGTCTACTATTGCAAATGGTATGCTATTATAGGGGTAATTTTCATTCCTGGGCTACAATAGTCTCAAAGGCAACATAACAAATCTGAGAATTTCAATGTGAAACTGAAACGCAAGACTTATATTTAAAACTTTTGAAAACTCCATAAAACCTGTACATGAGGTTTTACTCAGGAGAATCCAATGAACACAAATATTGTTTCAAAACTGTAAAACTTATCAACAATTATATTGTCAGTGTAAGTGCCATTTGTGTGAAAATGCAAAATTAACTTTCACTGTTATCGTATGGTTTTGAAACTCTAATGTGTTCAACGTCTCCCGAGTAAAACCATACCCCGTGTATAGGTTTTATGGGGTCTTGGAACATTACAGGGTTAAATATAGTGCTATCAGATTCTCTGGACTTTCTGCCTGGGTTATCAGGCAGGTCCCTCAAACTGTAATTAATAAAATGACTATGTATAAATATTACATGTATACATAGAAAAATGTGTATAGGTATATTGAGTTATTTCGTTCTAAGTGTATTTTGTCATTCCAGGCACTGCTATGGACGGCTATTCTGACCATGTGATCGTCAGGTCTTCCCAAGGACCTTGCAATCACATGGCCCAGGAGGGCCAGGTAAGACAGGGGAATGCCTGAGATGCCAGGTAAGTCCTTTGGACGTACTATGCCGCCCGCATTTAGGGCCGGGTCCCCATGGATGGCATACTACATCCACCGTCCTTGAGGGGTTAAGCAAGCAAAAATAGAAAAGTGCTTCTAGGTCTTTAAAACAACTACAGCCATCTCTATAGTTAGATTTTCTCCTCTATATTTTCAGACGCCTGAGCAACAAGTAAAACCAAATAAACCCGTAACACCAAGGACTCCCAAAACACCTTTCACACTTGAAGAAATTAAAGCAAAAATGAAATCCTCTTTAGACAAGGTAAGCTTGGAATTTGCCGAACACTTATGTAGCAGTAAAGTAGAACTTCAGTTAGGTTAAGTTTAATAACTATCTGCTTTATAGGGTGGAAGCCTTCCAAAACTGGAATCAAAATTTGTGAACTATGTGAAGAATTGTTTTAGGACTGATAATCAAAAGGTAAATTATTTTTTATTTTTTTTTATTTAAGAATAACCCAAGGAAAAACTTGGCACAAACAGCAATATCATGGCTGTCCGTTTTAGACTTTCTACTTATGGTTTATTTTACCGCCTGTATTTTCTAATCAAATGTGGATTATATATATTTTTTTTTTCATTACAGATAATTCAAGACCTCTGGAAGTGGAGACTGTCTCTGAAAGATGGAAAATAATCTGCATCTTTGTTCTGTCAACTTGGTTTTGTCACAGAATACTTTGATATTTTTGTTTTAATAGCCATTTTTCACATTGGAGTCTCTGTGGGGTTTTGTTTTTTATTTCGTAAATTCAAAGTGACATTAACATGTAACATACTAAAGTGTGTTAAAATAAATTTCACTATTTTTACTTAAGCTATCTTTATTGCGGTCACTCCCCCACCCCCCTCACTCCAACAAATTAATCCAGTAAGCTACTTGAAAGCATTGTAAGATCCAACTCTTCACCTTAGGGCAGTTGAAAAGATGTAAAGAAAAACACTTTGTGCTAAATACTTCTGGTTATTTAGGGCAAATAAAAATATGGATCACCCGAAGCAGGAAAAAGATGGCATTTGATTCCCAGGAAAACCTACACGACTGACACAAGCTTGTTTATCAGTAACCCAGTTAAATGCCACTTAATGGCCAACATTATTCTTGGTTTTAAAAAAACCAAAAAACTTATTGGAAGTATGTTTGTATTAAAATATTTCAGATTAATAGCCATTAAACTTAACACAATAAGATGCTTCTAGATTTAATTTAGTTTATTGAAACACTATGTAAAGTCCTGTTTTACAAAACCTGTCTGCATACAATGAGCTTACAGGGACATGCATCACTTGACTTGTGTTGCTGGAGCCTGCACTGCTTCAATCACCCTGATCAGACTAAACCATTAGTTACATAGCTGAAAAGAGACTTGTGTCCAAGTTCAGCCTTTCTCACATGTTTTTGCTGTTGATCCAAAAGAAGGCAAAAAGACCCAGTCTGAAGCACTTCCAATTTTGCAACAAACTAGGAAATTCCTTCTTGAACCCAAAATAGCAGTCAGATGTCTCCTTGGATAAATCCGCTATTGCCTCATTAATTAGAAATTATATCCTTGAATGTAAAACCTTTTCTTTGCCTTAGATCAAATCTCCTTTCTTCCAGCCTAAATGTGTGACCTTGTGTCCTATGTATGGCCCTGTTTATGAATAGATTTCCAGATAATGGTTTGTACTGGTCCTGAATATATTTATATAATGCTATCATATCCCCTCTCAGGTGCCGTTTTTCCAAACCAAACAGATTTAAATTTTTTTTTTTTTTACCTTTCTTCATAACTAAAATACTCCATTCCTTTTATCAATTTTGTAGCTAGTCTCTGCACTTTTTGTAGTGCTATGATATCCTTTGAAACAGGTGCCCCAAATTGCACAGCATATTCAAGGTGTGGGTCTTACCAGCGATTTAGAAAGAGGCCAAATTATATTTTCATCCCGAGAATTTATGCCCCTATTTATACATGACAAAATCTTACTGGCCTTAGCAACAACTGCAGACTGACATTGCATATTGCTGCCTAATTTGTCTAACATTCCCAAGTCCTTCACGTGTGTGTGGTTATCCCTAGTTCACTATCAGTTAGGGTGTAAATTGCTTGTGCATTCTTAACACCGAAGTGCATAACTTTGCATTTCTCTACGTTAACTTTCATTTGCCATTTTAGTGCCCAGTCCTCCAATCGATCCAAATCACTCTGCAGCAAAGAAATATCCTGCTCACATTTTATTACTTTACAAAGTTTTGTCATCTGCAAACACTGATACATGGCTTTCAATGCCTATTTCAAGATCATTTAAAAATGTTTAAATACAAGCTGTCATGCCAAAAGCATGAGTTGGTGTTTGTGTGATATATGTTAAGAGTTGTCTTTTTTGTTTTTTTTTGGTAAACCTTGTGATGACATTTATTGTGGTCTTAGATCTTGCACCAGGCATAGACCATAAAACATCTAGATGGCCATCACCAGAGCTGGACACAAGGAATTGCATAGAGTGGGCAATAAACTGCCAGACCAACACCTTCTGATTTCCCCTCCTCCAGCTCAATGAAGTGGTCTGGGTGTCAGGTCCCTCTAGGGTTAACCCTGCCTGATGTAAACATAGCAGTTTCTGAGAAACTATGTTTACATTAGGGTTAATCCAGCCTCTAGTGGCTGTCTTCTGGACAGCCACTAGAGGCACATTGGCAGTGATTGAGGCATATTATGAAAAATGCTTTCCTACGGACACTTTGAATGTGCGCGGCGCTGGTGAAGTCAGACGAGGATGCTGACGTCTGCGGGGGAGGAGAGGTAAGGGAGCCCGGTGGGGGAAAAGGGTGAATAGCTGAAGGGGTTTTAACACCTTCAGTGCCGTGGGAGGGGGACCCTGAGGGTGGGGGCACCTTCAGGGTAACTATAGCTCACAGGTCTATAATTTCCAGGCAAGGATTTTGAACTTGTTTTTTTTTTTTTTTTAAATATAGGAACTTCTGCCTTCCTCGGTACAATACCTGAAACAGAATTTTGAAAAATTAGAGGTCCTTACTTTCCCACTTAGCTCCTTTAAGTACTCATGGGTGAATACCATCAGGCCCAGGAGCTTTATTTACATGAATTTCACTTAATAGCTGTAGCACCTTGTCTTATCTGCAAGTTTTTTGCAGCAATCATTTGCCTATCTCTTACCATGGTATCCTCATTAATATATACTGAAGAAAGTTATTTAAAATATTTGCTTTTAACTGGTCTTCATTAGCTAACAACCCCATCTGTTTGTTTCCAGTGTACCTACCCTTTTTTTTCGAATTTATGTACTTGAAAAAAAAATTGGGGTTGGTTTTGCATTCTTTAGCGCTCAATTTCAAATTTTCTAGTTTAGCCACTTTAATTGCATTTTTGCAAGCATTATTGGCTTCCTTATATCTGAGACTTCTGATTTCTGTGGGTTTTTTTGTTTTTGTTTTTTAATATATCTCTTGTTTTACATCTCTACTAAGCCACAATATTTGAATAGTTTAAATTTATCCTCAGTGTTTTTATCACTAAGGAGTTTATGCCAGTCTATGTTGTAGAGCTGCCGTAATCTTATTGAAATTGGCTTTTTTTTTTTCTTCCTCAATATTTACATTAGGTGGTTTATAACCTATACCAACCTATAATTGATTTCCCTTTGTGTTTTTTGTTTTAATTTCAATTTTTCTTTTTCTTGTAGACAAGGAAATGGGGTACTGAATAGAAAAGGGAGAATTCAATTATTACATATTAGGGGTTTACAATAACCCTTGCATCTCTGATACTCTTATCATTAGAAACATTAATGTTCCAAAAAATCAGTTGAGAATTTTGTTGAAGTTATGCAATAAAACTGACAATTGCCTCTTGTTTGAATTCATAGAAGTGTAGGTTGCCTACCTGTGTGGGGAGGGGGGGAGGTTGTAACCGGGGAAGGTTATCAAACAATAGGGGATGGTACGGAGGGGGGATGGGATTGTATTTAGAACCGTATTGCGGTTTCATGACCTGCTTCGTTTACCAAGCTTCTAAGGATCCAAACTAGATTAGGGCTGTCTCGGTGTCAATCATTTCCTGTTTTTGTGTTTTTTCCAAAACTCTGTCTAGGGTTCCCAAATTCTAAGGTGCCTACTCCGTTTTCCCATTATTGACCAGTGAATTTCTTCAAGCTCTTTCGTTCGTTCTACTCTTTGTACCCATTGTTCTATGGTTGGTATACTGGGTTTACGCCAATACAGTGGGATAAGGGTGTTTGCTTCTCCCAGCAGAAGGTGTAATAATTGTTTGAGATTCTCTAAACGTGCGGGGCCACCTAAGCAGTACCTGAGATGGGGTTAAGCGGGTCGGCAGCTCCACCAGATGTGCTTAATGTCCCTTGTGCTGGTTGAACATCTCCAGCAAATGTTACTGATTGAAGTCCTTCAATCAGTAACATTTGCTGGAGATGTTCAACCAGCACAATCGGTCCAGATTGTGTAAAGTAGGGCTGGTGCCCTGTACCATCTGGTGGTTCTTTTATAGAAAGTCTCTTTATTGGTGACACTAATCGGGTTCTAAGACCTGTCTCCATAATACCTGACCAGTCATTATCCGATAAATGTATGTGGAGGTCCTTCATCCATTTCTGTTGGAATGGGGAGTCGTAAGTCCTCTGTCCGCCGTCTGTAGGATACGGTATATTTTAGATATGAGCCGTTTATGGTCGCCCTCTGGGCCACAAAGGAGCTCAAAGTGTGTGTCTCCCCTCTGACGCCAAAAGGGAAGGACCTTTCTCATCAGGAAACACTTAAGCTGTGCCCTGCCCATAGTGTCTAGGAGGGTGGTTTGTCTGGTTCTTGCCTGTCCCTGAATATAGGTGTGTCATCCTTTATCAACTTGTTAATGTCTGGTGTGGATGAGCTCGTCTGGTGTGGATGACCGTCCCTGCTGGAAATCAGGGTTATTGGCCGTGAGGAAGAATCTCGAAAGGCCAGGGGATAATCCCCACACGTCTTTGTGTCGTATCCAGACTGTGAGTGTGTTGTGAGGGGGCATGTTTGCCATGGTAGAGGGACTGATACAAAGCTCTGTTCTAATTCGTACCACAATCTTTTCCTGCTCGTATCTGTCCATTCTTTTAATCGGGTGAGCATTAAGAGCTACATATTACTTGTATAGGTAAGGGAGCTCCAAACCACCCCTGTCTGTGGTGGACGTCAGTGTGGTGAAGGCAAGTCCTGCCGGTTTACCGCCTCAGAGATATTTAATGAAGATAGTCCGCATCCGTTTAAAAAAAAAAATGTCCCTAGAAGTGGAATAGGCAGGGAGTGAAAGATATAGTATTTTTTGGCAGGACCATCATTTTTAAGACTCTGATCCTGCCCATTAGGGAGATGTAATGTAGATCCCACTTATGGAGGTCTCGTTTAATATCGATGGGGGAGGAGGTTTATGTTATAGAATCCTTTTGGGCAATGTGGTGATTCGGATCCCCAAGTATGTCAATCCTGTCCGGGTCCAAGGGAAAGTGTGCGTCTGTTGGAGTAAAGTTTGCATTGCCACGGGTACCGAGCTTCCTAGAATCTCGCATTTGTCTGTGTTAATCTTAAAATGCGATAGAGATCCGAAAACTTGGATCTCAGATTTTATGTGGTGTAGGGTTTTTATGGGATCAGTAAGTGTAAATAGGATGTCGCCCACAAATGCGGAGATTTTCACCTCACCTCCATGTTACCGAAATCCTTGTATATCAGTATTGGACCTAATTGCTGTCAGTAATGGCTCCATGGCTAGGACAAATAGTGGGTACCTCCATTGAAGGATGCTCCTAGCGCTTCCTGAGGACTCCAAGCACTGCAGTAGACACCACAACCACCGAACCAGAGAAGCATATGAATGCTGTAAGCAGCTGAACAAGAAAAGCATACAATCAGCTTACACTCCTGGCAATCAGCATACAATCCAATTCCCCCAATAATGAGACGACACTTCGTTTTGAGGTCAAGCAGAACTGACTGTACTGGCACATACAGCCTCATTTATTCACAATCCACAAACATAGCACCGCCCACAGGGTTTTGAAACCCAGCCAATCAATCCGTAAAATACACACACACTCCCACACAAAATCCTCCCCTCTGCCTGTGATATGATTACTGAACACAATGGTTAATCTAATTATCACAGGCAGAGAAATACAGCACCATGAAACATCAGGCAGCGAGATTGGCGCTGCACTCGTGGGTAACGCCTTTGTGTCCACAAGTGTTTTCGGGGCGACTCTCTTGGGGTGGTGACCGGGGTGTTCTCAGGGGTTCCACTGGGTTGTCTGACCTAAATGTATAGCCTTTGTCCCAGCTTGTCAGAAGGACTTGTGGGTCAGGGGTTCGGTGGATCTAAAAAAACTCCCCGTGGACCGGGGCCTCAGCGTTCTGTAATTATATATAACCTTTAAATACATGTTATTTGAGGCCTTTGGCAATTTCAATAACACAATACTAAAAAGAGCAAAAAAGAAAAAACATAATATAACTAGAATTGGAAATATAGCAAAGTAGAGGTAAACATCTCAGAGCGTTTAGGCTCCTTGGCTTAGTGCACGCATATGGCAAAGCAAACAGATATATGATTGTGGCATACAACCGTATCACTCCTCAGGCTGGTGCTTCCCTGGGGGATGCGACGCTGTCTGTACTAGGCTGAGCTTGCCTGCGTCTCTTCCTTGGAGTTTTTTGCAATTTAGATTTTTGTGGAATTTGCTTGATTGTGAGTCCGTTAAGGCCTGGCCAGTCCTCAACTTCAAATATCGGTAGATTCAGTGATCTCTGGAACCCTGGTACCTCCGCTGGCATGGTAATGACGTGGGTCTTGTCTTGAAAGTTCACAGTCAGTGTGAACGGTAAGCTCCAGCAAAATTTGATTTGTGTTTCCAGCAAGGCTTGTGGGTCTTAGGGCTCGTCACGCCTGCAATGTGGATGGTGATTGATTCTGAAAGACAGTTACAATATGGCCGTCCACTGATAGGTCTTTGTTTTGGCGGGCTTTGTGGAATATTTCCTCTTTAAGGGGAAGGTTGTGAATCCGGCAGATAAGGTCTCTTGGCTTGTCCGGAGGTAAGTTCTTGGGCCTAGCATCTCTGTGGGCCCTGTCAAAGGCAATAGCTGTATCGAGGGGTCTGACCAAAATGCGATTGAATAGGGTGGTTAGGACCTAAATGGGGTTTTCTATGGAGCCCTCAGCCCTTTGTTTGCCCCAAGCTTCCACATTTTCTTCGTCACACTCCACATGAGATTTGACTAACTCATAGTTAAACATACAAACATACCCCACCACCATTCTTGTTTTTCATATCCTTCCTAAATAACATGTACCAATTTAAGATAACTGCCCAGTCATGTGTTTCATCCCATGTTTCAGTTATGCCTATTATATCATGTTATTTAGTGTATGCTATTGCCTCTAGTTCCCCCATTTTGTTATAGGCTCCTTGCATTAGTAAGCATACATTTAATATTTTCATGAGTCATTTGTACTTTGTGAATTATCAATATTACATACCTCCTGTCCTGAGCTTCCCCCTCCCCCATCTCCATCCCCTTTGTTCTGCGCTAAAGCCCATCTCATTTCTATTTTCTAGATTGCTTCCCCCCCACTACTAGTTTAAAATCTCCTCCAAACTTCTAGCCATCCTATCCCCCAGCACAGAAGACCCTCTTCCGTTTAGGTGCAATCCATCAAGACTATACAGGTTGTACCCAAGCGCAAAATCAGCCCAGTGCTCTAAAAACGCAAAACCCTCTTTCCTGCACCAAGATTTCAGCCTCGCATTGACCTCTCGAATCTCCCGCTGCCTTTCTGCTGTTGCGCGCAGCACAGGGTAATTCTGAAAATATTACCTTGGAGGTCCTTTTCTTTAGCTTACTTCCTAGTTCACTGAACTCATTCTTTAGGACCTTCCATTTTCCTCTGACTTTGTCATTGGTACCAATATGGACCATGACAGCTGGGTCATCCCACGTCCCCTCCCAATAATCCCTCCACTCTGTCAGCAACAGGCCGGACCCGGTGATGGCAAAATACCTACTGAATTCAGAGCCGACCAGAAGGACTAAATGGATACCACTTTATACAGTCTGTGCTATGTCGCTTTTATGTTTTTATTAATAGGTTTTATCCTGCCTACTTCTGCTAGTAGCGCTATCACCTTATTTCTCATCAATATCCTGTTTGAACCCCATAGGTTCCACTGGTTGTTTGTCATATGGGATCATGTGCTGCAATCTCCCAGTAGTTACTCATCTCGTAAGGTCCTATAGGTTCTACATTCAGGATTTCTGAACTTAAGTGATCCACAACCTTTTAGGTGGGTCCAGGTTTACTAGGTTATTGGGTACATTGGTCACTATTTTCTGAATGTTACATTGTATTACAGGTTATGGGGCACTTGGCACTTGAGCAGCAGTTGCTTCGTACAGTGCTGTTAATTTAGGTCAGTTTTTACATTTGATATATACGGGTCAACGATCTAGCCCTCACTATCCAATACATTCACACATTTTCTGTTATTGGCTACTTGGTCTCAACTATTATGGTAAGGCAACTCCAGAGCCTATGTTGAATCATCACCAAAGTGAATTTTTAAATTACTCTAGGAGAACTCAAACTATCTCTTTAATTTTTCCTACATCTATTGTCATTACTCTCATAAGAATCACCTGTAAAGTCTACCTGAGATTCACCTCATACCTGACTGTATGTTTACAGGAATGTTACATCCTGAGATAGTTGGATACGGGCCTCTAGGTTTTAGGAGCACACT